TATATATATATACCGTATTTACATAATCGTACTAAATCACACGAATGTGAGTGCACATGTTGAATATATCTAGTACTTTGACTCTTCCAATACCCTATCAGTGATCGGAAAACCTATAGAGATCGTTCGTGGTCTTCCCCAACAAATAAACGTGCATCTACTTTGGGAGATTTCGAGAAGCTTATTGGCAGGAACTGGTAGTTATTCGTAAGCCACCCACGTGTTGTTGTTCGCAACTATTGGTCTGGAAAGTACTACTATCAAATCAGAAGGTTGGCAATGGAACAACGACTGGCACCAAGTCTTGCCATTGCACTTATGTCCAAGCTAGAAGCACCAGTGACCGATCTCGGGCCGATACTCTACTGTAGATATATAGATGACTGCTTTGTCATTTGCTCAACACAAAAGTAAATTGACAAATGTTTCGAGTTGTTGAACGAATAGTTATATTAAGCTCACCCGACAGAAACAAAAAGAGAACTGGCTTCAATTTCTGAACGTGCAAATTAACCTGTCCCGTTTATCCAGCCCTTCATTTCAAATGGAGTAACTGCATCAATAAAACGCTGCTTAAGAAGGACGGGTCTAGAAAACTTGGTAGCGATAATTGAAATACCACCGAGTTTTCGAAGAGGCCAGGTAGTTCGTAACCGCCTATATGACCCTCTATGTGGTACGCAAATTGAATAGTTTGTCCTAATGGCATATACTTTGGTTGCACGAGTTCGGGTACAGTTTGTCTGATCTCTTGTAAAGCGTGCGGGGACGAATACATTGGTGAAACGGGTTGGCCACTCCGAATTTCTATAAGACAACACTTCATTGGTGAACTTAAAACAAATGCTTCACTAGGCACGCATAGGACGGAGAGACACAACGGAGATTTTGAAGTAAGGGTTACGATCCTCGCAGAAGCAATCAAAAACGCAAGCGCGCAGAACTCTCGAGGCATTCAGGATTAATTCCAAAGAAACAGAAATGAAATACGGAGAGGAATGCCGTATAATCACGCGTGATATTAGGTAGTGTACAAGCCTGTTGTTTTGATGGGATGGACACACTACACTTCCATGTGCACTCTGTGCAGTTGGCCTCCACGTGACATATTTAGAGAAGACTCATAGAAAGCAATGAGTGTGCAGAAAAACTACTCTGTGTTCAATGTGATTGAAAGTTTGGTTTAGCATTTTTACTGTTTGGTTATGGAGGTGTTTGGTCGGGTAGATTGCTGTCTCCAGGCTCTGAGGAAGGTGATATCCTCCGAAACGTCAGCTTGTGCGTAAATAAAGAGATGAAATAACATCTTGTGTTTGCTAAACAGAAATGTAGAGAATTACTCAATCATTGTCGATATTAGCAGAAAGTCGGCCGTGGGAGTTACTTCTAATTTCATACTCAATACTAGTGTCACATTAATAGTTACTTAACTCGAAAGAAATGAACAATTCGGTGGATTCCGGGAAAATCGAAACGACCTCTGATAAAAACACAAGGAAGACCTGTCGATGACTTTGTGATACGAGTGGACAAATTTCACTCATAGAGAGTGGGATTAGCGATGTGGTTAGTGATGACAGCGATCAGGAAGCAAAGGCGCTAGTTCGACACCCCCACGCAACGTTCTCCTCAATCAATATGGGAGCGTCTCAGTCAAGCTTTCGCCAAAATTATAAGGAGATTCAACTCAACCAGCATTCTACGAGATTCACAATGAAGAGAAAATCCTCAAAAACCGGATCAACATGCTAAGTGCTCGAATAGCACTGTGGATGATGAATGCGATGGAAACGAATCGAATGCACGAAGTGTTGAGATCCTCTCACAGCAACTGTGATGACAGGTAGTGACAAAAAAGAATACATTCTCAAATGGAAATTAACTATCAGATCCTCAAACGGCCGCCAAAGCCACACGTTAGTAGGACCATCTCTGTAGGCGACAACTGCAAAAAAACGAAGCTAGCGGAAATGCTGGGGGCCCTACGATCAGTGAAGACCGGTCATCTAAGTATCTCTGCCAGTTTTTGCCTTCATAAACCTTGGCTAATGACGTTCGAGTTGTAATAAGCTCTTCTATAAGCGACGGTTCGTCCGAATTAAATTAGATAAATCTCCAAAGACCAACTTCTTTTCACCTCTGCATTAAGCAGTAATTCACTGTCTTTCTTGATGAGCAAATACCAACTTTCTATGATAGAATTTCCTAATGCACAGTAGCTAACGCTTCAGGGCTTTAACCTTTCTCAGAGACTAAAAGGTCAACTGCCATGCAATCTGTTCGGCCAGTCAGTTTCATAACTTCAGGAGATTAAATTTAGCTCGTTAATTTTTATTCGCATAATAAACAGCTCCTTTTAACCATCAACCACTTTGTTCTTTGTTGGTCTTCCAGTTATTTGGCGTAGACTGGCCGCACAGAGTCTTAAGCGGGCTAGGAAAGTGCTGGGCCGACCATCACACACTCCTCCTTGCGATAAATTTTTGAATTTTCGAAATCTGTGCAAAACCAAGAGAGTTTTACGTGCTGATGTTTTGTATTCCTCAGTGAGGATTATGTCTTCTACTATTCTCTATTATTTCCTAGTGCTATATGCGTCCTTAATGAAGTGTTTTCTTCATGTTTCTCAAACAGATATTTTTTATGCGCTCGCAAAGTGGTCTACACGTTTTTGTAACGCATTATGCATGCATCATATAATGCATATACATTATGTATATTTAAATGTTTCGAATATGTCAGGCAACTGCCACTTCCTCAGAAAAGATTGGCACCATTGCCTTCTCAATGACTAGCTTCCTTGAACAGATTCAACGACAAACGCTAGAAGTAGTGTCCGTACCGTACATCATTTATTCTACAGCCTTCGAGCATAAAGTTCGGATTGCAACGAAATATTCTGTGATTAAAAGCATTTTATTAGTAAAATCTTTTCAGCCTGTGTTTCTTTAAAAAACTGGACTTTCCAGAATAAAAAAATGTACTGTAAATAAAACACAGTTTTGAACAGATTTAGATATCTATAGACATAGATATAAAGAATATGCGAAGTCACTTATAACATCCATTACTCAAAACATGGAGCATTCTTGATAGAAGCAGTCACAATGAACAAGTAGAAAGCATATCAAGTAACTATTTGGACTTCAGCAAAACAGATAAAACGTTAAGGCTACCAACGTTAAACATAGAACTGAGCCCGCGATGCCAGAGTACCATTGGATGCCGATTGTGCTTGAAATTCCAACAACAACAACATGAATCGAAAACTTTTCCAGACCTCATATACTACTTCCGTTTCTTAGGGAAACTTAAGTAACCTAGGGTAAGTGGTCTAGAAGTTTGTTTAGTTGCGATAAAACAAAATTTGATCTGTGAATCCAAATGCAGCAAATCGCGGATTGCACAGAGATCCAGGAAGACTGTAGTTGTTCGACATCAACTTTTTCCCATTGTTTTCACGTATCGAAGCCTGAAAACGGAAAAATCGGAGATGCAGACACAGAAAAAGACAAATCACCGAACTCGGAATAAGAAAACAGTTATTTAATGAAAATTCCGTACCTTGGCACATCCATTAGTTTCTAGTTGTAGTAACTTGTAAACACAGAAATTTCCGGGCTTATCAACGTATGTAACAGCTCCCATTAAACCATATGCAATAATCTTTGTATAGCTCTATAAATCGAAACTATCCTGAAATGAAGGAATTTTGTAAATTAAAGAAATGACCCACTTCAGTGAAATGAACTTCCAGCTTGCCATTGGAGAAGTAAAGAATGATTGCAGACCGCGCACGGAACCAATGACGTAAAGCTGGAAGTCGTGGTATGTAATCTACGTGCCTTTCCAGCATCATCTTACACTAGCTTCGAACTCTGTCGAGGAGAAGTCCCATCTGTAAGATGAATTAACTGGGACAGGAGATGAAAAAAATTATATGTATTCTTTCTTTGATAAACTTACACGAGGTTGATAATTATATTTATTTTCGTCTAACGTTTCGACGTCTTCTCCTTTCTCAGAGCCGATGAACCGAGTCGATGGTCCAAGCATGCTATTCGTCTCGACGTGGCACCTTCGCCTTCGTGTCGAGTCAGGTCTTCCTCAGCGGACCTTCTCCTCGAATAAGACATACTCACTCGGTGGTGCCCCTTTATGAAAGTTGCTGATGGTGGATAGCTGTGATTGTCCGGTGATAGTGTGATAGTCGAATTCAGTCGCAAGGTGAGTTAAAGCTAGTGAAATCGAATGCGTGGCATATTCGTCCTGATTTGATCAAAGACGGAAGAACTCTCTTTTAAATTTTGTCAGATGGTTATACTAAAAGTTTATCTTTTTTTCTAACCATGCTCAACAGATACTAACAGCTGTTAGTCGGTCAATCTGTCAACCGAGAGCAAACGTTTGAAAGAGACTAACCTAGTTGGACCTCTAGAAAATCAAATCGTTTCCACTTCCCGTGTTCACTTCCTCCTAGCATTTGTATGGTGATTTTCTGAAAGCGTCAATCAAAAATATATTCATTGAAGTGCTGGCAACTCTATGTTTTTCCTCACTTGCCCATTGTCAATAGCTCATGCGATATACCGCTCTTCTTCCAGGCGAACATTGTTTGCTTGACTGCGGCTAAAACGAGAATTCCAACTTAGCTGTTATGTGAATCCACTGCCTTTCACATGAGAAAAAAAAAGCTACGAAAATTCTTATCGAATTTGTGACAATCTCACCTTCTTGAAAACTGTAGCGATTCGCTTCGATTGTTCACGGCCGTTCATTCTTCCGATGTCGGTTTCCATGGCCGCATCGAGCCGACCGACTGCAGTCGAAACGTGTGAAATGGCGGATGAATTAAGAACCTCACACGGCAATGCGCTTTTATGCGCGTGGGTTGTTGGCTTGCTGTTTGTCGGCTGATAACGTGATTCCTGATGCTGATATGGCTACATCTAGGCAGTTTAACCTGTAGTGGTTGTTATCGTGTCAGAGCGTATCTAGCAAATGAGTGTTTTCCAAAACATACACGTTCTACCTTGGCGTAAATGACCATTCTTTTACTTGACTGTTGAGCTGTAATCTATATAGAAAGGTTTATCTCTTTGGGTACTTCAGTTTCTTTCATTTATTTGATCTTACAAACTGATCTTGCTCAGCCGATGCGAGGCTGGTGTAGGACTTTGCTGTTATTGTTGTTGTTGTTGTTGTTGTTATTGTTGTTGAAGCCATCTCCAGCAAGCAGGCCTCTCGTCTGTTCTAGGAGTGACGGACGAGCCACCTGTGCTCGTACCCAGCCCACACGTTCTGTGTCAGCAAGCTATACATGGGTATCAGAAGCTGAGCGCAATAAAACATGCTTACTGCTTTCCAAATGTTCGTTTTTTTCTTGTCGGGCTATGCATACTAATTTCATGGGTAATCGGAAGCGAATCAAAATGCAGAAATGGGAACACTAAAGTCATTCTCAACACTTGGTAAATTACAAAAATTACGCCGTTGGAAAAGTCCATTCCTCGATGACGTACCACCCGACACTTCGAAGAATACACAGACCATTCTCAGACCGCAACCATAGGGGGCGACTGTGTGTGAGAGAGAGGAACGAATGAAAATTTTGTTGGCTAAATCAAATTCAGTAAAAATGAGTCATCCAAGCAAGCAAGTGACCAAGGTTTTCAGTTTTCTATGATTTTTCTAATAAGAGCAATTTTGGGGAAAGAAGATAAGATAGAAGCCCCTGTTGTCGATCTCCGGCCACTACTCTACAGCAGATATGTAGATGATTGTTTTACCATCTTCTCTGCGCAGCAGGAGATGGACAAGTGCTTCGAATTATTGAACGAACAGTCTGAGTACATTAAGTTCACACGGGAGAAACCGAGAAAAAACTGGCTTCCATTTCTACACGTTCAAATAAACCTATCAAGTAGCGGTTACGCGACAAAGTGGTACCGAAAACCGTGCAACAAAAACATCCTGGTTCATTTCCTTACCACCTTTCACACACAAATGGGGGGCTTGTGAAAAACATGTTTCGAACAGCCACCTCTGTGCTCGCAACCAAAGAACTAAAGGAAGAATCGCGCGACTTGGCTCGGCAAATAGCCTTCTCCAATGGCTAAGAAATGGTTACTGCACGAGATAAGTTTAGAAGGAGAGCGACGCGACCAAGCGAAACACTTGGTCAAAAGAATGTCCATTTCATGTTGCCCTTTATTAGCGATGAAGTAAGCGTAGCTATAAAACTATGCTCAAGAAGGACAGGTCTTGAGGGATTGGTAGCGATGGTTGAAATATCGCCGGCTACTCTACGTCGTCAGTTAGTTCGTAACCGCCTGTATGACCGTCTGTGTGAAACAACAAATTGCGTAATTTCCTGTTACGGCAGTGACGGTGATTGCATGAGTTCAGCTACGATATACCTGATCTCTTGTAATAATTGCGAAGATTAATAAATTGCCGAAACGGACACACCTTGGTGTATACGTATAAAAGAACACCTAGATGGCAAACGAAAACTAAGACAAAGTACCCCACTATGCACGCATGGGGTACGGAAACATAGCGGAGACTATTTTGATGTAAAAGTCAATATCGTCGCACGAGAGAGTAAAACACCAACGGGTAAAGTTCTTGAGGCTTTTTGGATAAATACCAAAACCCTACAATGAATAGCAGGGAGGAATGCCCAGAGGTCATACCCGACCTGGCCCCGTATCTTCGGATCAATTTCTGATATGGGGTGGTGCCGTCATGAACCATATGCGACTATAATCACCTGTTCTATTCCTCTTCATTGGAATTCACGTAAAAAGCGGTGCGTTTTTCGAGATGCTGTTGATCATGTAATTATCATAGAGTTTTTCGTCTTTTTGTAATTGTTATTGAAGCTTTTGGCCTGTACATCAGTATACCCTTCCAGGCCCTGAAGAAGGCTATACTGCCGAAACATCATCTACTATTATATTGTACTGTGTTTTTCTATGGAAGTAGACGTATGCTGTTTAACAACCTCGGGATTGCTAAACAGGAAAACGACGCATTCATATTCCAATGCCGAGATTAATCGATAGTCGATCCTGGGAACTGTTACAAGATGCACCAGCAAAGTTGTTCAAGGTTATCATTGGAGATTTCAGTGCGAAGATTGGACCAAGAAGACCGTCTAAGGACGTTACATTGGGACCCACGGATTAGAATGGAACGAACAAGGTGAGCGGCTGATAACTGGCAATTCCAGAAGCCCTACCCTCAACGCTGGACGTGGGATTCTCCCACCACGTCCACCTCCCGTCATATGAAATAGAGGAGGATGGATATCTTGTACCAACGGTTCTCTCTTCTGAAATCCGACATGCCATTTCGTCGGTGAAAAAACGAACAGCGCAAGGTCCGAAGAGGATGCGACCAGAACTCCTGAAGAACATTCCGACAGTCCTCGTAAACACATTGACTCGGCTCTTCACACGTAACCTGTCTGAATGCAAGGTCCCTACTCAGTGGAATACCAGCATACCGTATTATAGTTCAAAAAAGGAGACCTACACGATATCGGCAACTATCCCCCAATTTGCTTGCTGTATGTCGTCTACAAACTTTTCACTCGAGTCATCCTAAACAGGATTGACAGAACACTAGACCGCCATGTCAGCAAGCAGGGTTTCGAAGAGGATTTAGTACGATGGATCACATCCACACGGTAACACGGCTCGTTGAAGTATCGCGAGAGTACAAAGGACCGCTCTGTCTCACTTTCATCGATTTACAGAAGGCCTTTGATTCAGTTGAGATAGAAGCAGTCATGGAAGCCCCTTGATAGTCAAAGAGTCCCTACTCAGTACATAAAGATTCTTCGTGAGCTATACAAAAATTTCACAACCAAGATATCACCATTCTACAACGATGTTAACCTTGACGTGAAAAGAGGAGTTAGGCAAGGCGATGCCATCTCTCCAAAATTATTTATCGCCACCCTCCAGAACGTCATGCGAACATTGGAATGGGATAATACGGGGGAGAAAATCGACGGTCGGCGGTTACACCATCTTGGCCTTGCTGATGACATCGTCCTTGTAACAACAAATATTAGCCAAGGGGAACGTATGCTTGACGACTTTGATAAAGCCTGTGGAAAGATTGGTCTTCGACTAAATCTCACAAAAACGATGTTCATGAAGAACGGATTGTTTTCGCATACCTCATTCACGCTCAAGCTCAACGGAACGAATATCTCCGAATGCTCTAGGTCTAACTAGGTCGGGAAATCAATATGATGAACGACTTAGCTCTAGAGCTGAACTGAGGAAACGAGCGGCCTGAGGAGCTTTCAAAATCATCAAAGACACGGATGTGTCAGAAACCCGGTCGCTGAGTGAGCAGGATGAAAGATCACTCAGCGTTATCGAACGCTCAAACGAAAGGACGATATTAGGAGTGGTGGTGAAGTGCGCTGCTCCCCGGTAAGGACAACAGCGCGTGTTCGTTCCCCACCGAATACACCCGCGGTCCGGAGTTTTGCAAATATCTCAGCATTATATACGAGATATTAGGAGTATCCCGTACCACACAAGTAAGGGATCGGATCCGAAGTTCCGACCTGCGTCAACTATCAAAAACCGAAGACGCCGTTCTGTACGCCAACAGTCGAAGATTAGGTGGGCCGGGCACGTAATGTGTATGAATGACAACCGATGGACAAGAGCCGTTAGTAACAGGGTTTCTGGGGATGTCAAATTCATTGCAGGAACACCACCGACTCGATGGCCAGAGTTCTTCACGAAAAGCCTAGAAGAAAGATATGATGCTCGGCGAGTTCCTAGAGCGAGCAGAACCCACTGGGCAACTCTTGCACGCGACGGGGAA